GTGCTTAACTTTTTTCCAGGTGTATATAACATTTTGGGAGCAAATATAACTGGAATGAAATAAATTCCAAAATGAAAACTAGCACAATTATAACCTAACTTTAAGGTAGTCTTTTGGAATACACAACTTATTAAATTATTATTTGCTAAACAAAAACGTGGATAGATATAAATTATTTAGGAAGAAATTATGTTTCAGTGAATCATTAAAATGGTGATGATGATGATGATAGTATCTGTGTAGACCGCACACTATAGTGTAAATATCTTTGTAGACTGCACGCTATAGTAGCACAGAAACAATTGTATGTGCTATTGTGGATAAAGCTGTCAACAATACTACTGGTAGTTACATCTATGTGATGACAATAACTGAATGCAAATTTTCAAATAACTATAGTTGGATTATAATGTAAAATGTGCTCTTTCTAATGGTTATAATCATATGCATCAAACAAGTACATGTGGCTTGTAAATCTCAAGGCTTAAGTATAAAAGGTGGGCATGGCACTTGTCAGAGACTGAAAAAATTTATCTCTTGTTTCAATTGAACTCATCCAAATAACTTTGGAACCTATATGTAAATAGCACAGTAAACATAGGTTTTATCTAGACACGTATCTAGAGAACTGAGGTTATATGATTCAAGATAGAGACTGCAAAACTTGAGATTTTCACAGCTTGTGGATCTCGTGACAACAAAACTGAAGTTTAAGTATGTTTTTTAATGCTTTGACTATGACCTACTTACAATGTTATAATGTAAGTAGGTATGCAACTCTCGTGAAAGTTCTTTAGAAATATGAAACTAATGGATGAAATTCTTTTAAATTAAAGTATGTAGTTTTTGAAAAATATTTAATTTTGATTTTCTCTAAAGCAATGTTTTTCTTATGCCTTGTTTTTTATTTTCCCATGTTGCCTATCCAACATGCAAAGTAATTTTCATTTTAAGATTACAAATACTTTTATGCATCAGAAAATTTTCAAATTTCACATGCAAAATCCTTATAATGTCCAGGTAGTTATCAAATATATTTTAAGAAAAAAACTTTATATTTCATATGTTATTTTCACTAATGAATATCTGTACGGGTTTTGTCGAATTGATCGATCTTGTAACCACCATAAGAAAATAAATATAAATTTTGCCTTTTTCATTTTAGAATGACTACAAATTATAACACAAAAACATAAATGTTTAGACTAAATAGCTTAAATCTCATAACATTATACATTTATATATATTTATTATTTTTATTATATTGACCTTTCAGCCATGCCTGGCTAGCAAGACAGAAGTTACAATGACGTGGCTCATGTGCACTCATGTTACCATATCAAATAAAATAAAACTTACCTTTGGCCTGTACAAAGAGTAACTTGTCTTGGCTGTGTTTTAGTAGACTAGTATTTTGTAAAATACAGTCACATTTCAATTATTATAAATTAGTACTATTTTTGAAATAAGTTCTTAAACTTATTTTTCTTAAAACATAGAACAGCAAATAAAGAAGTAAAGCAAACAATTATCTCTTCTAGTTATGACCTGTGTACTCGGTTGCTGCTTGACGTAGGTTGCTAAGCCTTTAAAAATTTTGCATGTGGAGAGTACAAAACAAAATAGTTTTACTACATCAATACCATAGAATTCCACTATAATTTATCAAGCTTAGTAACTAAGATGTATTTTAGTCTGAAAGAAATATGAAATTTCAAGCAGACTAAAGATACACCCTACCTCCTTGACATATTGGTTCAAAAGAAAGAAATGCCGTCCAAGCTCGTTAAAATGGCTCAGAAAGCCACTAGGGGGACATTCTGAGCTACTGATTGGTTATTCATGTCATATGTAAAAGTAAGTGTATTTAAAGGAGCATTTCCAAAAATGGAAAGTGGTGGGCGGAGTGCCACTGTGTTTGATTTATTACATGAGCAATATCTTAGCAAAGAGAAAAGATAAGGCATTCTTATTTTATATTCTAGCTTGATAATATTGGTAATTTGAGTTTCTAATTCGTACAAAACTATAGACTTACTATTTTGACTTCAAAAACATCTAATTTGAATCAGTGCTGCATTCAACATACCATGTGGCACACAAAAATCAATGTTTATCTGTGTTTTTTAATATTTACTTCTAAATTAATAAATTGAGTAATGTATATTACTAAAATTTGAATTGTAATCTACAGTTTGATACCAAACTTATTGACATAAATTCATGAAATAGTCGTTCAATAAGATTTTGAATGCAAGTGAACAAACGAGATGATATTGTCTTTCACCCGTGACTCGTCTTGAAAGGGTTAAAGGAATCCCAGATTGAATAACATTAAATGTTTCAGGTATTTGTTGTTCTCAAAAATAAAATATTTCTGTAAAGAGTGAAGTTGTATAAACATAAAGAAGAAAATGTTTTTGTGTAAAACCTAGAGCATATCAAAAACTTTAAAGATTTTGACACATTCTTTTAATCTTGACACTTTTAATCATATTTTTGTAATGATGAAATTGTTTTTAAGATTCTGTCTGAAATTTTTTCTCATAAATTGTGAGTAGAGCAATTTGAAATATACCAACCATATAGCTTATGTATCTGGAAAAAACTTCTGACTTATCTCTTTTCATTCTTAAGGTTTATTTAGTTTCTTTGTTGTTAATTTCAAAGGTTCATGTCTTCCAGAATTATGAAAGTTGCAACTGGTATTTTTTTTATCTAATTTAATTTATAGAAGACTTAAGGTATTTTAACAGAAAATTTCAATTTATGTTTTCAGTCTCCTGTAATGGCAGCCTGTTTTGCAAAGTTTCATCCCAATTTGATCCTTGGAGGAACATACTCTGGTCAGATTGTATTATGGGATAATCGAAGCAACAAAAGAACTCCAGTTCAAAGGAGTCCTCTTTCTGCATCAGCTCATACAGTAATGCTTTTAATCAAATGTTATTTAAGTGCATATTCGCTAGATTCTTACCTACTATTATACACATATCAATCTATTTATTTGATTCTTAATTATTAGTATGTTATTTGTCAAACTTTATTATCATCCTATTTGTCTAACTTGTTTTTTATTATGGTATTGTTTTATGATCACTTCCATGTATTTGCTTCATATGATTTTGCTTTGCTTGAAATATCCATATGTAAACATTTGAAGTTTGTAATCTAAATTAAGAAGTTATACCTTTGAACTATTTAATTTGTAATTTGTAATATTAAAAGGGTTATTTTGTATAGTATTTAACCCTTTCCATTCCAGAGGCAATATCTAAAATTTCTGTATTTGCATTCATTAAAAAATTAATAACTCACAGACATCACTGTATTAACCCATTGCCTTACCTTTTCATTGAATCAGTGGCTTAGTGCTACACTTATTCACCTTACCTCATCATCTGTTTGATGATGTCATATTTTAATCCATTCCTTTACTTAAAAAGTGACATCAATGGGCCTCAAGTGACTTACATCACAAACTAGTTATTTCAGCCCTAGATGACAGAATGTTTGTACTAGGACATATTTGTTTTGTGGTTTTCTTTGTTGTACCGGTCCACTGTTTTCCTCTGACTGTCATCATGGTGCATAGAAGGTGTGTGAAAAATAGGGAAGTTGAAAATGTACATTTGGAAAGTGACACTGATGAAAAATATTTGTAATTTCTATGGAAAATGAATAAGAGAGAATCATATCTGAGAGTAAAAATTACAATAGTTTGTGTGACACAAGTGATAGTGAAATTTCTAGCACTACACGACAACTGTAAAAACAGGAAACTGACTGGTGGTAATGGTTTACAGAATGTCCTGCTTATAACAATTTACCAGTGTTACTAGTAGATCCCTGAGAAATAATCCAAAACTATGTGATGTATTATCAAGGTTTGTAAGTGATAATTTCTGGGAAGGAGTATTTCATCAAACAGGTACACCAATAAAAATGAACATCGATGCAAATGTTGGATGCACTGTTCTTGATATGAAATGGTTCTATACCTTGAAATCAATACTTTTTTTTTTTCACAATATGCATATTACAATCACAAATAATAAAAAAAACAGCCTACAAAGTTATTGGAGGGTGAGAAAATCAACTTGTAAATTTTTTGCATGTATTTTACTTATGCTGCCAATTCAGTTGCATCAGACAGATTATGCAAACTAAGAATGCAGGTAGATTTTTTTAACACAAAATCCCAGTCACTGTACACCATAGAAGGACATAGTTATTGATGAGAGTTTAGTGAAGTGTGAGGGAAGGCTGGTGTTAATACAGTACAATTCTTGTAAGGGAGCAAGATTTGGAGTAAAATTCTATAAGTTGTGTTAGTCATCCAGTGAATATTGCTACCAGTTTCAAATCTACACTGGTTAAAAATTCACTGATCCAGACCTTCTGTCCCATGAAGCAGTATCTCTTGACTTGATGAATCCCATACTTGATCAATGATATAGTCTATTTGTGGACAGCTGAGACATGCAACTATCCCTTTTCTTGTGACTGCTTGACAAAACAACAAACCCACTTGGAACAGTTAGACTAAATAGGAAAAATATGCCTAATGATTTTGGAAAACAAAATTTGAAGAAAGATGAATATGTTGACGATATAACATGATGGCAATAAAGTGAGGTGATAAGAAACTGGTATCTATGTTGTGCACAATTATGATTCTTCAGACATTACTGATACAGGATGTGTCAACTGAAACACCAAAGAGCTTGTTTTGAAACCAAAGGTCCTTCCCAGACTATAAAAAAACAAATAGGTGGAGTTGATCACATGGATTAACAACTCTTTTCATTCCAACTCATGTGTTATTATGGTAAAACATGCAAGAAATTTATATATTATATCTAAGATATGATCATTTGTAATTCATATATATTGTACAAGAAGCTAAATGGTAAGAAGAAGTTCCATTACAATGATTTCTGAGTAACTATAGTTGAGCAAATATTGGAAATTATGCAAGTGCCAGTATGTAGCAGGTGGGGTAGACCATCAGGTGATACATTATGGGGCAACTGGCAGCCTCTTGGAGATACTTTCCCAGGAGTATATTGCCTAACCCTGTCAAAGTAAATCCCTTGAGGCTGTACAAGGTGTGCTCAGCAACATGAATGAAAATGACACATATGTAGGAATGCATAAAGTGCATTACATATGCCTGATTCTTTGAAGATTTTTACACTAAAACAAACTTCCAAGTTTTGTCAAGAAATATATTTGAAAAGCAGTTCCGTATCAATTTGCTTACTGTTTTATAATGATAAATAAAATATTTTGCATTATATATATTATGAGTTGTTCATTATTTGCAATTAATAGTATAAATGGTTCAAAAATCTTAAGGAACAAATGATAAGGCAATGGGTTAATACAGGCATCTCAAACATAAGGCAAGATAATCATTGAATGTTTTTAAACCTAAAGTTGATTTTTTGGTCAATTTACTGTATGATATCTTTATATACTATGCAGTTACACAGTATCATTATAATCATTGATCTGGAAATTATATTTTATACATGCTTAATCTACAGATTCTTTGGCAGAATATTCATTGGTATTTTTCTCTTGCTGTTATATTATCCTATTCATATAATAAAATCAGTAATTGTCACAACCATCTTTGTTTTTCTTTCCAACAAACATGCATATTTATGCTTGGCGTTATATCTTGTTTATGAAGCTTACCTCTGTACTCATTACTCATTTTAAAAATTATGTATACCTGTTTCAAAAATAAACTCCTGCTTTTATAGTTTTAAGCTCATCCCATGATCCACCATGAGATACCATTAGGTTTAAATATCCAGTACAAGCAGGGGAAGTCAATAACATTTGTTTCCTTTAGGTAGCATAAGCAGGATGAAGTTAAAATGAGAGGAAATAGCTGTGTTTTCACCCAGTCGGTATATTATAATATTAAGTAATCTCAAACTGATTTGTATGTAACAGACATTTCTACTATTATTTTTGTATCTTTTAAATACTTTTGTTTTACGTATATATTTGAAAGAAATATGTTGTTGTTGTTGTTGTTTTTTTTTGTTTTTGTTTTTGTTTTTGCTGTTGAATCGTATATGAAGTATAGCTCAAACTTTATTGCAATATTTTTTCATACTTACAGCATCCTGTGTATTGTGTGCAAGTAGTTGGAACCCAAAATGCTCATAACCTAATCAGTATTTCCACTGATGGCAAATTTTGCACTTGGAGCCTTGACATGCTGTCAGCTCCTCAGGTTAGTTTAAACTTGGAATGTTTGTAGTTACGGAGATCAGTTTAAGTTGATATTATTTAACTATTTAGATGAAAGTTTGATTATTCTCTCAACTTTTCATATAACTTTTATGTTTTTAGGTACTTAGGCTGGACCTGACAAGTTTTTAACACCTCTGATGAAAGTAAATTTTGAGGTTTTTAAAATCCAGTTGTATTGTTTCCAGTCTTTAGGTCAAGAATAAGAAGTTTTTAACTCCATAGGCTAAATTTGGGCATTTCATACTCTTCAGATTAAAGTTATTGTGTCTTTTTTTGGCTTTTGAAAGGAGAGCTTACGTGTTTATGAACTTAGATATTCACTGGCATCTTTCAACTTCTAATTATGAAACTTGTTTGTATATAATTCTCAAGGTTACTACCAAACTACTGAGCATTTTTAAATAAGTACTTTCTAGTGCCTTCTGTCAACCATCTGAAAAACTTTATTGGGTTAATCTCTGGATTAAAATTTATCCTTTGAAGTTTTCAGATCCTATCATATAGCCATCTTCAGACTGTTTTAGTATGCTAATGTGTTGTCATGTCATCAGTAATGTAAGCTGTATTGTACCACAGCTGACTTGCTTAACACCTAAAAATTTGGTTATGGTGAATTTCTGACCATTCAACTGAGCAATGTTACAGTGACACCAAAGGTGAGCTCACAGGTAGAGGGTTATAAAAACCTTTTCTGAAGAAATTGTCAAGTGATATAGAACCATAAGGCACAAGTCAAAGAAAATATTAACTTTGGAGGTAATAAGTTTCTCAGTTGTTAGATATTGAATAAAATTTTTCAATATGGTTTACTGTGTTATTTTGAGGATACTTTAAGATTTACATATTCTTATATTTAATGATGAGGAACCCACTTTGTGGAATATAAAAGTTTGAAGATGGCTTGACTCGGTATGGAAGAAAACTTTATTATCAATGTACGACATTTCTACAAGATTATGTCATCCTCAGCTGCTTTTGCCTTCTTAAATTGTGTTTGATATGAAACAACAAATATTGTCACAAAAGCTTTAAAATATTATAAAATTTGTTGGTAACAATTTCTTATTTTATACTTATTTTTTAACCTTTTTGATTAGTGCAAAAATATGCTTTTTGCATTTAAGTAAGTTACAAATAGGTCACTATGAACAAATGCAGTGAAATTTTAAGTACTATTTGTATAGGATACTATGGAATTAACCCACCAGAAACAATCGCGGGCAGTAGCAGTGACTTCTCTTTCTTTTCCATATGGGGAATTTAACAACTTTGTTGTTGGAAGTGAAGAAGGTTCTGTGTATACAGGTAAGTTATTTTTTTCTATCTCTAAAGCTTCAATTTCTTGAATAAGACATTTACCATATTTTACAGCATATAAAACAATTTTTTTCCTGAAAAAAATCGTCTAAAAATCATCCTGTCTCTAATATGTGAAGTTAATTCTCTCAAAATGGGCTTGATTGATTTGACCGATCATGTGACACAAGGTTTTAATGTCTTACATTCAAAATTTTATTTTACTACTTTTTGTTTATGTTATGCCAATTACAATAGCAGAATATCTTAGCTAATAATCCATATTATTGAGTTCTTTGTTCTACAACTGAATATTTTAAAAAATCCTGAATTTCCACTAGTGTGACCCACATGACACATTTTGTCTTAGTGTGTCATCATCCCTATTTTATCCATCACCCCTTGAAAATGTACGAAATTAAACGTAAATTACTCTCTATAAAATCATTATTGCTCAGACAAACCATAATATTTATTGTCTTCAATTTTGTTTGGTTACAGAGCTATCGAATGGAAAATCAGACCCCTCGTGCAACATCCTCTCTTTCACAATTCGTTGATAGTTCTCCCTTACGTTTCATTATATATTACCTATAACCAATAGAAAGTCAAGGTTTTCATCTATCAAATGGCGTATTGTATAACATTGTATTCTGAACATAATATCGTAAATTTTACTCACAGTACAAGATTCGTTCTTGTGGGAAAGTTAAAGACTAGCTTGGATGAATTTGTAATCGCTCTTGTTGCCTAGTTAGAAAGCCAGGAAAATTTTGAGAGGAAAGTGAATTTGTCTACTTTTGCATGTTGTTAGTCTATATTCTTTGGTGCATTATTTAATGAAATAAAAATTATTAAGTACTTTATTTCTTGTTTTTGATATTTATTCTTTATTTATTGTTGTGAAAGTAACTAAAATCTAAAAATACGGATCTTTTTAAATTATTTACGACTAGATTCGGTAAAATAAGTAATAATATAATTAAAATGGTTTATGAGGACCGCACGCGAGCAGTTCGTGGGTAATGTAATTCAATAGTGTAACATGAGCTGCATGTTCCCCGAGTGATTTACAACTTATAATTGCAGAATAGTAATTAGACATGGTTCAAAGGGCAATAAAATAATCAAATTTAATTATAAATAGATGTATAATGTTAAGAACTTAAAGCTACTTAGGATAAGCGAATGTAGTTTCATGGTACAATTTGAAGTTATTCTAAAAACAAAAAAAAGTCACCTTAGGTTTATTTAGATTTTTTTTTTTTTGGTGGTTATGATGTTGGTCAAATTGACCGATCCCATTTTAATATAGGGGAGAGAAAATAACAGATAAACTATAAAGTTTTACTGAAAACAAATGTTTGAAATGCATTCAGGAGGTTTAAAAATACTTCACTAAGAAATATGAGTTTTTGTATGTGAAAGACTTGTAATATTAACTGAAAGACTGCCAAATTTTGTGAAGATGTACCCACTATTTTGAGAGTTATAAGTATTATGACAAAAAGGTCACATCGTCAGTCAAATTCACTAAGTCTGTATTGAAAGTGTTAATAATTAAATTTGATTGTTGTATTGTCCTTTGAACTGTGTCTAACTACTATTCATGTCATTATAAGTTGTAAATCACTTTGGGAATGCGGAGGTCATGTTATGCTATTGAATTATGTTACCCACAAGCTGCTTGCTTGTGTGCTTCGCAGAACATTTTTATTGTATTATTATTTATTTTACCTAATTTAACCTTAACTAACCTAAAGAGATCCCTATTTTTACATTTTAGTTACTTTTATAATAATAAAGAAAGAATAAACATGAAAAATAAGAAACAAAGTACTTACCCGAATCTTCTGTTTCCTTGCTGTTGATTGTCAATGACGCTTAACCCTACTTTTTTATACTAATGGTAGCAATGCAGTAAATAATTTTTATTTAATTAAATAATGCACCAAAGAACATAGATTAATGCCATGCAAAAAGTAGACAATTTCCCCTAATTCCCACAATTTTTCTGGCATTCTAAGCCACTAAATAATTTTTATTTAATCAAATAATGCACCATGCAAAAAGTAGACAATTTCCCCTAACTGTCACAGTTTTCCTGGAATTCTAAGCTGTTACAAATTCATCCAAAATAGTCATTATTTTTCCTATGGGAAAGAAGCTTATAATAAGAGTGAAACTGACAATTCTACATTCAGAAAGCACCGTTAATAATACGTCTTTTGATAGATGAAAACCATGGCTTTCTATTGGTTATAGATAATGTAGAATTAAACGTAAAAGAGAACTATTAACAAATCCTGAAAGAGAGGGTTTGACAGGTGGGTGTGACAAGAGGGATCTGATTTTCTATTTGAAAGCTTTGTAACCCCAAAAAATTGAAGGCTATAAAAATTAGGGTTTGTCTGAGCAATGACAGTTTTATAGTGAGTAATTTACGTTTAATTCCAGTATGGTACATTACCTCTTCTCACATAAATAGCTATTCCTGTTCATTGTTCAAAGTTTACACATTTCACAAGCTTTCTATCTCCACTCCATTGGAATTCACTGATTCCAGTGCATCTGTCATGCTAATCATCATGCATCAACCCTCCACTAATAAGAGTGTGACATACTCTCATAACACATGTGACTCCCTATATTCAATTCTACCAAACTATCACTTCTCAATTGGCAGTACTCATGTAAAGTCTTTTTTTTTTTTGGTGCTCTTTTTGTGAAACATGATTTTAATAGTTTAATTTCTGAAGTGGGATTTCTTCATTACCTTTTTTTTTCTTTACATTGAAGAAATCTTTTACTTTAACTTAATTCCCCAGTTTTTATTTTTTCTCACACTCGCATATTTTACATCAAACACTTGTTTGATTTACGTATTTCTACAATGAATTTTGAGGTTCATGTTCCCACTTCAGGTGTTATACTTCTAGCACTAGTTTCACAGTCTGCAGGTGGGGAGTCACATCGTTGAATTTCTCTGCTATTATCCATCAAGAGATTGTTCGTGGATCAGTTTCATGTACAGCTATCATTTATCCAATGGAGTGGTCTTTTCATCTTTTTGTTTTCCAGTGACTTTTGACTTCATTAGGGTACTTCTCACATTGAGGCCTTTGCATATTTTACATCAAACACTTTTGTTTGATTTACGTATTTCTACAATGAATTTTGAGGTTCATGTTCCCATTTCAGGTGTTATACTTCTAGCACTAGTTTCACAGTCTGCAGGTGGGGAGTCACATCGTTGGATTTCTCTGCTATTATCCATCAAGAGATTGTTTGTGGATCAGTTTCATGTATAGCTATCATTTATCCAATTGAGTGGTCTTTTCATCCTTTTGTTTTCCAGTGACTTTTGACTTCAGTAGGGTACTTCTCACATTGAGGCCTTTGCTACGTCCCTTAACCAGAAATTGCCTTGGTTTTGATCTTCGATTCCTCATCTTCTTGTTCTGCCTATCAGTGTTTTCAACCAGGATTGGACCTACATATTTGTGTATCCTCCCGTTCTCCTTTTTCTCCGGGTAATTTCATTCATCTTTGACACTCTGTGTTCAGTCCTTTTGATAGCTCTTTCCTGGCCGTCTCAACTGTAGTTTCTGCTGTTTCTCCAGCTCCAACTTCCTCCTGCGTTACCTTTTCCGCTGTCTCTGTCCCTTCTTCACCACCCTCAGTCAACTGTGTTTCATCCTGACCTTCCTGTCCTCCGTCTTCATGCCTGGTTTTCCTCTGGTCATTGGTGAAGTGATCTGGCTTCTCCTGATCATTAGCCTATTATTTTTCTGGTTTGTTTCATTCACCCTTCCTACATGGAAGTTTCTTAATGCAAGTGGGATTTTTCCATTGTTGGTTTCTGGGTCCATGGTTTTCCCCTGATCAACCCACTGTTCTTAATCATGCAGGTTTCCTTTTGACTTTTGGACTGGGGGGTCTTCTGCCTCCTCTGTCTCGGATTTTCAGGTGGTCCTGTCCCACACCTTTAGTTTTTCCTGATCCCGCTAGTATTTGCCTCTCCTACACTTTACCTGTGAATGTGTTTCTTCTTGGTTTGTCATCCACCAGGGTGGGCTGCCCTTCTGAATGGGAATATTAATATGGTCTTGCACTGCATCACTTTGCCTACATTCAAACCACTCTCCCTTATGTTTTCCTTACTTCTCCTATTTGCCTGTAGACATCAGTGGTTTGTTTATTTGCCACTGATGTTTCATATACTCTTTATCTTTCTACATATCTTCTCCTTTCTCCTTATCATTTTTCCTCTCTGACACTCTATCAGCTCATGAGGATAACTCCTCTGTTTAGCTGCTTTCCCTTCCTTCCATTTCACACTTTTATCCTAGTCCTGATCTGGATAGATTTCTATGACCTGTACATGCTCTTCTCTGTCATGTTGCAGGCATGACTTCCTTCTGTAGTGTCCGTTCCTGCCTCTTTCTTCCTTGACAACTGTACTCTGTTTGTGTTATTTCTTCTTCCTCCTTTGCCAATTGGGTTCACCTCTTCATTCGATTGGCTTTTTCCTCTCTATCGTCCTCCTCCCATTCTTTGTTTCATGTGTCTTCTCACATGATTCGACATCTTACCTTTTCATTGGAGGTACTTCTTCAATCGGGCATAGGGACTACCCATGATATGTTTGTTTCTCACTATTTGCATCAGATTGCGGTTTTCTTCCTCTTCAGGTTATCATCTTCCGCCTGTAGCCATTCTAGAATATCAGAATTCAGTGAGACTTTGACTGGGTAGAGTTTTTTTTTTTTTGTTATTATTTTACCTTTTCAGGGGCCCTTTTCCATTTTATTAATGCTCATTGTTTGGATTCCATGTCGACTTGAATATTATAATTCTATGGCCATGCAATGCACACTGCAGAGATGGGGTGTTCCACAAGATTGCGTGTAGGTTTATCCTCACCATATAATTGATTCATAAGTTGCCCATCCCATACCATACCCACCCACCCAGAAGGGGATAGCTGCCCATTCCTGCCATGCCTTGTATTGAATAAATTGGTATGGTCTGCTTTTAAAAATAGGTTTTCATGATCACCCATTGCACTGTCTTAAATGTTGTCATTCCTCCAAACTATCCACCACTTTTTACCCTCCTTTTCTTCTAGTGGATTTTGAGAGTCCTTGCCACTTTCCAGTTCTAAGCTGCTATGGTGGTGGATCATGGAAGCATTCTCCAGAATAGGTTAATGAAATTCAAACACAAAATAGAGATTATTATAAAAACTATTCATTCGCGAGTAGGGTGTTGGTGTTCTGCTGGTGTAGATGATGTGATATCCTCCTTTGTTTGGGATCCCTCATCCTACCTCCATGTGGATGTCAGTTCCCAGTGGCTGGTTTTAGATTTAGAGTAGAATCAATCAACATAAGTCCTCGCACATGTATTACAGATGTCTATATTTCTCCCTCATTTATGCTTCATCAGTGTTGTGGGTCATGGTGGAGGTAATTGCTGATTGTTATGGTTCTTTCCCTTCCTTTTTCCTACCCCTGCCAGATGGCTGGGTTTTGGATTGTAGTTGACTTTCTACCAGTATGATTCTTTTTCCTGCCCCCAGATGGATGTTGGTTTCTGGTGTCCTGGGTTTGGGATTATAGTCGACTTGCTGGTGGTATGATCCTCTTTCCTAGATAAATAAAATTTTGAATGTAAGTCACTAAAACATAGTGATGTTCAGTAAAAGATGCCTGTTGGGATAGGGTTAAAGAAAATGCATCTCCAAGTTTTGCCCCCATAAGCTAAATTCTACTTAGTCTTTCTCCAGACAACTGTAGATTAACTGTTTTAGCATGGGTTTGGTCCCTGGGACCAACCTTGTAACCATTTTGTGCTTGTTATAGTTTTCATGCTATAACTTTTAAATTAGTAAGCGATTGTTAACAAAATTTAGCAGATTATCAGTAAACATTATAATGCTTTCATACAAAAAATATAAATTTTTTTTATTAAGTCTTAAGATTTGTAAAGCAATGTTTTTCTCGTGCCTTTTTTTTTCACATGTTGCCTGTCTATCATAACCCATCTCGAAAGGGTTAAAAATAAAAATTAATCTATACAAAAATATATGATTAGGCTTATAATTAATGAAAAAAATTGGTAAATATATGACTGGATTTATAATAGATAATAATAATCCAAGACGATTAGTGTCAGTATAGCTGAGCAGTTCACCTGGTTCTTCAGTGCTAAGCAATAAGGGTTTTTAAACTCTCATGAACACTACTGTCTACTATACTTCCTATTTACAACATGCAACAGTACTTAAACTGCTCATGTGCAAAAGACACCCTAGCCTCTTTCCTTATTGCAATGTCAAGCCAGTACAATTTACTCGCACAACACACACCAACGGAAAAATAATCTATTACTTGCGTCTTCTTACAATGGAGAGACTAATGGTGAATTGTTCTCTTTGTGGTCATTAAAAAAATGGTGGCAGAATTGAAAACTCAGTTGACTTGTAAGTTACAGCACTTGAATGTATCCTTTTAAACAGAACATGCATGAGGAATGGAACAAAGGGATGTGGGCCTTGCAAGCTGTGGATCATGACTTCACACCCACAAGAAGAGTAAAATATCCCACCATTTCACAGGTGTGTGAGTGGGTGAAAAATTCATGGGATGCTGTAAAAACAGAAATAATTTTGAAGGCTTTCAAAAAGTGTGGCATTATTAATGTCCTAGATGGAACTGAAGATGATGCATTATTCTAAGATAGTAAAAATTCACTATCCTATTCCATTAAAGACCATACGTCCCAGTAAAACTGGATTGACTCAGTTTGAGCCTTACTTTTTTTTCAATCAGAAACAGTAAAAGTATTAAAATTTCAAGTTTCTCTGTACCTCAGTGTCAGTTTGATATGTATAGTTTATCATTATATATGGCTCCTTTATATTTTATTTGAAGAATCACTTGGCAAAGACTGATCACTCAGTACCACATTCCTTCTCTCTGCGCTACATTTTTGTAATCTCAGCAACAAGAAATGAAAATGAAGAAGCGATATTAACATTTTTCTTTTCAGTAAGCTCAAGATAACTTGGTGCATTTTCAATTTATTTATCTATTGCTTTTTATTTTTTAACTAAAGCTTTTGTCTAGTTGTGAAATGCAATGCAATAAACATGAAATTATTTAGCAAATGATTAGCGTGTTATTATAGTTTAAACTGTTTCAGAGCTGTTGCAATAATGCTATATAGAAAAAATGTCCTAGTTTCTTCATTGGATATGTGGTAACTCTAGGTTAGAGTGATTCTAGCAGTAAAATTTGCTACAGTAAATATAATTAGTCTTCTATAACTTGCACTACCTTAATTCAAATTTGATACTAGAGTTATGTATCTTGAAGATGTTTCTGTATTTTGGCTGTTTATATGCTTGTTTTAGAATGAAATTAATTTATTTTTATGTAGAGGTTACTTGCAATTATAAAAGAGAAACCTGTAAGTAACAAACTTTTAATTAAGATAACTGTTTTATAAGTGTAATGTAATACTCTTAGACAATATCATAATAAAATGTAAAATGTGCTAATTGATAATTAAGTTTTATCATAGTTCATCTCTGCTATTAGAGTCCACATGGGTGAAAGTGTCCAATGATCATTTTGACTGAAACATATCTATTGACTAGGTATTTCGGGGTCTAAGAAGCCCCCAAAACTCTGGTGTTATGTGTTCTCAGATAACTCTGTGATAACTTTCAGTATTAACTTTTAAATTGACTTTGTAGCCAAAAAGAAATTCAGAAATCACTTACAACTTGACATTTTACCAGATGGACCTTCCTAATAATCATACGAGGCTAGGTAAAGTTATTAACTGTTAATACTCAAAACTTTTACATGTATATCCAATTACTCAGTTGCACATAAAATACATATTACTTAATTAACCAGTTAAGACTCTTTCCTCATAAAAAATTAAAATGATTGGAAGTTTAGACAAATGCAAAATGTGTTTATTTCATGCTAATGCCTAGGAAAGGCTATTTTGATAGATTTCTGTCTACAGACAGAGAACTTTCATCCATGAATGTACAAAATATTTATTATAAAGATAAAAGGATTGTAGAATAGTCTTGATGTCATATTTCACCGATTTCAGCATGTCGTCATGGGAGTAAAGCAGGGGTGATGGACATGTTTGAAGCACACCAAGGCCCAGTGACAGGTGTAGATACACATCGGGCCCAAGGCCACATTGATTTTTCTCATCTCTTTTTGACTTCTTCCATTGATTGGACAGTGAAACTATGGAGCTTAAAGGTATGTATTTTTGAGAAAATCTAAGATTAATGTGAATTAATTTAGATCAGTAATTATTTTTCTTATGTTTATTTGGTTTGGAAAAAAGACAAATCAGACTCACCTTTCAGTATTTCCTGTTGAAAGTGATTTAGTAGTTTTGTAATGTGGAATTTCATTTAACTAAATTTTTTATAATATACACTTCCTCTTAGACATACTTGTGCTCATCCTTTTATCAGAATTCAAACAGATTTCACCACTAATTTCCACTGACAGGTAAGATAATAAGCATTGTTTGAATTGTCTTTTTTTTTCAGTAGAATACTTATAAATATTTGTGAGTTTGAATTCCTTTAGTCTGTTCCTTTAAATACTTTACAGAAGAGGAACTCAAAAGTGTACATTTTAGTGATATGTATGGTACTTAAGATTGCCATGCTAATTCATTGAAGCATTTTACACTTCACATGGAAGAACCTAGTGTTGGTAAAAATAATGTAATTTTATTTATTTTTTATACAGAAGTAAGCATTTAAACTCAAGATTAAGAAGAGAGAGATAGATATTCATTAATTCTCTTAAAAACGTATTTTGATAAATCAACCTTCAAACAAAATTATTTTCTGCTAAGAAATTTTAAAATATTTGACACAGTTTTACGAATAAATATTTTTTTATACAGTATTAAAATAAGTAAATAAAAAGTATTTTTTATTTGCACAAATTAAAATTTTTTGGGGTTTAAATGTTACTAGATGGAATACTGGGAAAAAATCTAGGTTGAAATTTCAATATAGGATTGGCCAATAAAGAAATCTTGTGATTTTTTTTGTTTGCCTTGAATTATGGGAATATATGTTGTATTTTTCAATGTACACTAATTTTTATAAAAATCACTCAACAGGATACTAAACCTCTCTACTCATTTGAAGACAATGGGGATTATGTGTATGATGTAAGCTGGTCACCTATTCATCCAGCTTTGTTTGCTTGCGTTGATGGCATGGGTAGATTAGACGTATGGAACTTAACTAATGACACAGAGGTGAGTGGGTTTCTGTTATTATGTGTAAAAGGTTCAATGATAAGTCTTGAAATTTAATTATTTGAATATTGAGGGACCCTATCTGTCTTTGTTTCACCGGAACTTTAGGCAGAGTAAACACAATAGGTTGAAAACTTTAATGGACTGCAACTGCTTTTCAAAAGAAAAGGAAACAACATTTTGGGTTCTATACTGTGGCCTTTTTCAGGTCACTGTAGGTACATGTGGAGTGCTTTATAAAGGTAAGCCTGGCCATGTGATAAAACTCAGGCTGTATGGGTTGAGCAGATGTTGTTAGTAGAACTTTGACATAGTCATATTATCTGTAGAGTTTATTTATGGTGGGTTTCCACAGGTCGCTGATGTGCAAACCATTGTCTCTGTTGAGTTCATATTGGTGTAGTTTGATGTAGACAGCTTCTTTGACTTTTCTTTCTTTCCAGTAACAAGCTTTGTCTAAAATTCCATGTTGATCCCATTTTAAGATACGTTCTGTTTTATAATTATGTTCAGCCAAGCTCACTTGATGTGTTAGTCTATTTGTTTTCATGTTCTTTTCAGCTTTTTCTATTGTGTGACCAGTTTCCCCAAAGTAAATGTTGCTGCACAAACATGGTATTTCGTAGAGGAGCTCTTTTTTGTTTAGACTTGTTGGTTGGTAAGGATGTTTTAATTTAATGTTAAAGTTCATTTTATAGCAGGAAAATGTCTACAAATCATCCTTACTTGAGGTATCATGTTCAAGTGGCAATATTTACATTGGGGAAATGGGTAAGATGGTAGAACAAAGATTAAATGAACATAAAAACACAACTGGACTAACAAATTAAGAGACATTGGCCTTGGCTGAACATAAACAAAATGGATTTTAGAAATAATAAAAATCAAAATAAAATTTAAAAAAAAGAACTGATTGAAAAACGACCATGCATGGAAGACTTTGTTCCACAGTCACTATCTCCAACCATTGTCAGATATAAAAGACTGTTTAGTGTTGGTAGTATTATTAATTTATTTATTTTATGTTTGTAATTCATTGATGTTGAGGCTATGGAGATTTCTAGAAGGCCAAAGTGATAGACATAGAAGTAGCTGTGACCAGACACCAGAAAAGAGAGTAAAAGTAAAGTCATGTGAAAGATTAGTTCAGTCAGAGAAAAGTTAAAAAATTTAAAATTAACCATCATGAGAGTGAATTGCCTAACAGTTGATATGTTAGAGTGAGATTAGCAGTTTGAAAGAGATAAGAAGAAGAACTTTTCTCATCAAAGGGTATTTTAGACTAATTGAACGCACCTGTGTGAACTTTGACAAAAGGCAGATGATTATTGGAAGTACAAAAAGCAGACAATTATTGGAAGTTTAGAATACAACTGCTGGAACTCACGCAACAATATAAGTGAATTATACTATTGTAGATACTGTCATGATAAAAATAGAGAAAAATAGTTCAGCTTGTCAACTGAATTCTAAAGCAATTGAATAGGCCTCAGTGGACTTTTGACAAGAAGAAAACTATATAGTGTTTAAGATTCAACTATGATATCCATAGTGTAAAGAATTTTCTGCATATGTTTAACTTGTTTTGAATACATATATTATTTTAAAATCAAATGGAGTGTGTGCTGTTTGTTTATTGTTCAATTTATCATCAGCAAGTCACAGACACCTAGTGTAGAAGAATCCTTAGCCCAACACACCCATATATTTACAATACTATATATACTACTAAAAAGTAAGTTCCTGACAAACATTCATGCCACAGCATAGTGACCTTCTTTTAAACTGAGAGTCCATAAGGGATATTCCTATTGATGTTACTCTCCATGGTACTCTGAATTCCTAAAGAGGAGTGATTGAGAGGAACCTGCTTATCATCACTGATTCAGAGGTTCTTGCTGCTTTCTCCAACCAAGTAGTTTTGACTGTATGACATATCTTCACTCGTAAAGAAGGAATAATTTGACCTACCCACATTTTTCTTTTCACGTTTACATCACCATGGCTACCTTCATCTGTCAAGGCAGGTTATCTGAACTTTAAGTTAAGGCCTCATATTCCAAATCCTTTGACCTGTATTATGTTAACTGTAATGGTTCCCACCCCTCCTACTTTTGTTCTTACCCTAAATAGGTGGAGAAGAAAGAGGTACAGCAGTTGAGGACTGTAAACAACATTTCTTTTCCTAAGGGATAAAAGTTGTTGTCCCACCTTCGAACTCACGCATATGCTGCTGTACTCCATTCCACTGCCACAGTGGGGGAGCAGACAGATCTTTCCATTTCTCCCACAGAGTCTCTCTGTCACCATATGAAGGGTATTCTGCTCTCCATAGATACACGAGTTGACAAATCAACATCTATCCTTATTGCAGAATCCAATGAATGCTTAAGCACCTTTTCGTCAATTCTGATGTGCAGGACCATAATTTGGCTATGACTCACTCACTGGACTCTCATTCGTTTGATGGAAACCTACCCTGTTGACCCAAGGTAGGATCCATGAAAATGAATAAACCTCCTTTTAATAAAATAAAATTCTGTGGTCGAAAACAAAAAAGCTATCTACCTGGTTCTTTTGCTCCTAAATATAAATGACCACTTTGATACAGTGGAACTGTCAAGGTTTCCATTCCAATTTAGATAACATTAAGGCCTTGATTGATTCCCACCATTCTGTGTGTCCATCATGACAGGAGACATTCTTGAGACCTGCTGATGCTGTCACCTTTCAGTAGTATTCCTTTTACAGGAAAGACAGATTATGTGATGGACGTGCTTGTGGGGGTGTGGCACTCCTGATTGGCCAACATGCACACACCATATCTGTGCCACTCAGTATGTCACTGGAGGCCGCTGCCATAAGTGTTTCCATTGGTCTTAATATCACAGTTTCATCTTTTTACCTGTCTCTGGGAGAGGATTATGATTAAGCAGTCCTTGATGATCTTATTGAACAGTTTTCATCTAACTTCCTCATCTTGGGAAACTTTAATGGAGACAACCCACTTTGAGGTTGTGCCAATATTGATAGAAGGGCTTGTTCTGTAGAGTATACACTCTTAGATCACAACCTTTTTAATACTGGTTCTTATACTAATTTTCATGCTTCTAGTTGGTATTTTACTACCTTAGGTTGATCTGTTTGCTCCCCTTCCCTTCTTCTTTGTTTTCATGGAGGGTGGACAGTGATTCATGGGGTAGTGATCATTCTTCCAACAATGTGAGGGAGATTGGCTAAGATTAGTGCCCCCTGACTCGTGTGCCACAATGGAAGATGGAGCAAGCTGACTGACTCTTCCTCACTACTCTCTTGATACAAGATCCTGCTGTGATTAATCTCCCTACTATTAATGATTGAGTGGAAGCAGTTACAGATTGTATTGTTCGGGTAGCTGTTTGTATGATTCCTAAAACCTCTACAGGTTTGCCACAGTATCCTCATCCATGGTGGACCCCTGACTGCCAACAGGCACAGAAAGCTCAGAAATAGACCTGGGATATCTTTCACATATATCCCACTTTTCACAAGCACATAGCCTTTCAGCAGGCTCATGCCCTTGTCCAGTAGGTCAAATGTCAAAACCAGAAGAAATCATGGGTTAGCCTGAATTCAAGTATTTCTTTGACTGCCAGTTCCAAAATTGTTTGGGGCAAGATTCAAAAGGTTAGTGAGAAGTTTATCTCCCATCCTCTTTCCATCTTGAATTCCAACTCCCTTGGGGAGTGCTTCTCTCACCATTCCAGAACTTCCACCTCTTCCCCTGCATTCTTGGTCATCAAGTTACAGGCCAAAAGATCCCCACTGTCTTTATGAGCCAATAGTTTCTGTGACTATAATTGAATGTTCACACTTGTAGAACTAAAGATCGCCCTACATCAGTTGGACCAGATGATATTCATTATGAGATGCTTTGCCATTTTTCCCTGCCTCTGTCACTCTTCTTCTGGCTGTTTTTAGCCATACTTTAGCAGGAGGAGGATTTTCCAAATGCATGGCATAGGGATATAGTCATTCCTTTTTCTAAGTCTGGAAAAAAGATCTCAAGGCTCCTTCTAACTACATATAAACTAATCATGTTGACTAGCTATTTCTGTAAGGTTTTGGAGAGGATGGTTAATGCTTATCTTATTTGCTTCCTAAAATCAAACTATCTCCTCTTGCCCATCCTCTGTGGTTTTCATAGAAAGCGCTCTACCATGGATTACCTATTTCAACTTGAAACAAAAATCACGGAAGCCTTCCTTAAGGGAGGAGAGCATCTTGTATAATTTTTTTTATCTACAGAAGGCTTATGACACTACTTGGAGATGTGACATATTATGAGACTTCCATTTCCTATGGGTTCTATGTCCATTTATTCATTTTTATTCAGAACTTTTTAAATGACAGATCATCCCAACTCCATCTGAGTTTGACATTGTTCTGATCCTTCACACAGGAACTTGAAGTCCCTCAGGGCTGTGTCTTGAGTGTTAATTAATGCTATTGCTAAACAACTTCCTCCTATAGTTACAAATTGCCTCTATGTCAGTGACTTTCAGATTTTCTGTTGGTCATCGAACATGAGTTTTATTGAGTGGCAGCTTTAGAGTGCTTGCTTGCTTTTTAGGGTGTACCACAGTAAATGGTTTCACCTTCTCGTCATCTAAAACCATTTTTGTGCATTTTCTTACACCCTGATCCTGAGATCAACCTAGATGGTGCCATTATTCCTGTGGTGTGATTGAGACAAAGTTCCTAGGACTTCTCTTTGACCGTAAGTTGCCATTTACTTCACACACTAAGCAGCTTCATGTCAAATGTACAAGGGCACTGAACATCCTTCGCATCCTCTCTTTCATTTGTTGAGAAAAGACCTGAAGACCTATCATGCCCTCATTTGATCAAAGCTGGACTAAGGACTCTGCCTTGAAGATGTTGAAACATATTCAGGGATTTCGCCTCTGCACAGGGGCTTTCTGCACTTCTCTGATCCAGAGTATACACTGAGTCCTATGAAGTTCCACTTCACCTCGGACATTTGCAACTTTCCTTACAATATGCTGCAAAGCTTCATTCCTTATCACAGCATCCCACTTGGTGGGTTGTGATCTTCAGAAATACATGGTCTGCCATTCGTACTTTCAGCCTTTGTATCCAGGTGCAGTTCAGTGACTTGGGTCTGACGTTGGATTTATTACTGTGCTCGATGATCATCCCATCCTGCCATTTCTTGTTACCATCCCCACTTATGGCCTTTGAGTCATCTGAAGAGGTTGGTTACTCTTGATTGGAAGTACTGTCTTTTCTTTGCTGAATATCTTTCAAACCATTCTTTTGTTTTTGTTTTTATAGATGGTTTGAAATCTGGTGACTCTGTAGGCTCTGCCATGGTTTACTATGGCTTGGTGATTGCAAACAGGATCTTCTCTACAGATACTATGTTCAATGCCAAGTTACATCCATTTTCACCAGTCTTGGATCATGTAGAAACTAATTGTACTATCTATAGTGACTTGCTTAGTTTTTGAAGGCCCTGGAATTACTTAATGTGAGTTCTCACTTGGTTCTCTTGGATATTCAGAAATGATTGGCCCACTTCTCTTTATCTTCCACCTCTATTTGAGTTTTCTGTATTTAAATCTGTTTGCCTGTCCCTACAAGACCTGTCGTCAAGGCATGGCTTCAAACCAGTTGGATGTCGATTTGGAGTTAGCAACTTCATAAGCATTTCCAGATAAAGCCTATTGTTGTTTGGCCAGTTAGTTACTGTAAGGTTTGGAGAGAGAAAGTTGTCTTGTTTAGGCTACACATTGGCCACAGTTTCATAACTCATCATTTTTCTTTTACAAGAGATTGACCTGCCCACCTTTTACTTTGCTGTTGCTAAAACTACCAGCAGCAGCAGCACCATTTGTTTCAAGGTCTATTTTTTATTTTGAACAGTGTCATTGATAACAGTGATGCTGTCCTGAATGATAAGGTTTTTAGTTTTTTACAGGCCATTGGCTTTTTTGATTCTATTTAATGTTTAACCTCATTTACAGGCAATGTTCAGTTTATGTTTTATTTTTTTTACATTTTTACTATATTTTACTTTTGCTTTTATTTAATTTTTTCAAAATTAATACCTGTTGTTTGGTGTAAATAGCTTGTTGCTTTGTGCCATTAAACTCCAAACAACAAAATCAGGAGCTATAATATTTCTTCTTGTCCTCTTTTGAGATTTAAATGATGATGATTCTTTATTTGCTTCTCTATCCTCTCTAGTGTTACTGGCACTGTATCCACCAATCTTGTCACCACTGCTATGGGATGATTCCTGTCCATACTTTCCTCACTTCTTTTCTCAGCCCTTTATTCCTATGAAAAAAAGAATCTTACCTACCTGGTCCATGCACCTGAGGTGACTTCTTTCCTTCTGAGCAAGAATAAAGTTCTTGTCTTCTGAGATCATGGTCAGAGTCAGGGCATCCCTATGAATAATGTCAAAAAGATCATCCAGATTACTAACAAACTCTGCTTCATTAGCTTGCTGTGTTTTAGTTTTCCTCTTTGAATTTTTCAGAAAGCTTCTCCAGTTTAATAATGGCATGGTGTTCTGGATGAATTGGAATTCAAGCCTTGTTTCAAAAAGCTGCAGCTTTCACGAAACTGTCTTCTTTATTGTTTGTGATAGTAGAGAAACACAACCAGCAATTGCCTATTTAAAGGTAATTTGCTTCCTGTTAGTTCAGTTTCTTCTGAACTAAGCAGCCAAAGTGTAATCTTACTTCTTGTTGCAGTATCTGTTTGCAATGATATGCCAATACAGTCTCAGCTGAAATGGTACAGAAGAATCTGAATAAGTGCTTATAAACCTTCACATAAAATCTAGAACCTACTGTCATGTCATGCAGAACATTCCAGAAGTAAAAACTGACAGCATGAATTATTTATATATGGAATATTTGTGAACATTCTGAATAATTTGGAATATTCTATAATATTCTGGAACATTCTAGAATATTCAGAATATGCAGAATATCCATTGGACTGGCTTATCTAGGAGAGTTAATATCTACTATAATTCTTTACTTAGTGTGTTTTCATGAAATTTGGTCAGTTGTGTGGTGAACATTACAAGTATGTTGTACACACGAAATCAGAGTTTTTAATAAAGTATTTCTACTAAAGATATGTCTATGACTTGACTTTAGTCAGTCTGACTCGGACTGTGAATAGGCTGAGTGCAAGGTGATTTTCAAGTAAATAAAAAAAGTTATTTTTTCTATCTTACAGTATTAATATTTCATTTGCATAACCTTTTGCATAATATCAAAAGTTTTTTTTGGTAAAACTATTTTATCTGTTATTTTTCTCTACCCTAACACTGTAATGGCTTGATGAATTTGACGGACCTTGTAACCACCACAAATAAAAATATGAAGTAAATCTAAGTTATTTGTTTTCTTTCTAAACTGATTGCTGGTTGACAGAAAATTAGTTATTTATACTAAACAGCCTCTGGCTTATTACAGTTTACACTCGTTTTCATTTAATTTTATTGTTTTGTTGCTTTGAAGCATGACTGACTATTGTGAATAGCAATAAATCATACAATGGAAGTGCTGAGAGTACAAGATAAACAAAAGTTCAGATTACATCTAACTACACATTTCTAGTGCTTTACTCGACACAACAAAATGTTTTACCCACTTTAAGTTTTTTTTACCTAACCCAATAAATTTTTGATTTTTACATTTTAGTTACTTTTGATTAAAGAAAGATATATCAGTAAATAAAACATATGAAAATACTAATAAATTTAGCACTTCAGGATTGAGGCCCTTTACTCTTGGAAGCTGGTATTCATTAAACTTAAATGTTTCTCACTAAGCTGTTTGTCCAAAAAAATAGTTCATGTAGCTTTCACATATGCATTTTAAAACACAAACAAAAAAACATAATGACCTGAAACTACTATGATATTATATATATATATATATATATATATATATATACCTACAAAAAGGCTTAACAAAATTCATTACTTACTTGAGCTCCAACTTTGGTTTTAAATTCATTAAAATAATTTAATGTAAAAATGTCATAATCACATAGTTTACAAAATGGCCTCTCTGTTGGTTATAAACATATACCATTGGCAAGTAAGCATGAGTAAATGAGTAATCTGAAAAGCATGAAGAGTTGAGAGGAGCTTCTGTGTTGGGTATGACAAATTTATTGCTAACTCAGAAAAATAAGAAAGTTGAGAGGTTTTAATTTTGAATTATGGCTTATCAATATCTATAGTTGGTGTTTCTAAGTAATGGACATTTTGGAACCCATATAAGAGAGAAAAAGAAAATCTATGAAGGAGAACTCGGAGCAGAGAGGCATCTTGGCACATACAATTGAAGATTGAGAATTTGTTTAAATCTTTCCTTTTTTTAAATTAAGAAATTAAAACTTGTATACAAATTTGAATTATAAACTACATTTTGATGCTAAGTTTATTTGAATATATTCATAATAAAATCATTTAATTAAGTTTTAAATATTACTCTGTAAAAGTTGTGACATGCACATTTTGACTTCTACCTATGGATTTAGGGTTAAGACATTGATTTTAGCAAGAACATTAAGTTATGACCTCATTGCAGTAAAATTTTGAATTTCTTTTTCTTCAGCTTCCAACAGCCAGTTTGGTTGTTGATGGAAGTCCAGCATTGAATAGGGTGGTATGGACACCTACTGGTCATCAGGTGGTTGTAGGTGATGATGCAGGAAAAATCTGGATATATGATGTTGGGGAAGTAAGTACACTGGCTATTTGCTTATGACATTTAAAAAAAAAAATTCAAAACATGATTTATTAGTGTGAGAATTATAATTAGTATATTAAGGGATGTTATAAAAAAATGTTGGTTGGAAATTAGTAGTTAATCCAAGTCGAAAAATAAAATTTGGAATTTCTTATTGCTGTTTAATACTTTTTGTGATGATCTATGAATCACTGTCAGTAAGCATTTGTTATTTAAACCACATTGGCTACTCTAGCCATCAGTTGAAAAAAGGTAAGGCCAGAAAGTTAGTTAAAAAAAACTTACTTATTATTATTGCATTTACTTTATTGGATAACTCATTATTGCTGCTGTATAGGGTAAAGTTTAATATATACATCAATAATTGTATATATGTTGCTTGTTTTAAATTTGTTTGACCTTGTGGTCACTCAGAAAATTACCTTCAGATTTGAGGTAGCATTGTTCATTACAGCATACTTGTTCTTTCAACATATAAAGAATTATTTGTTATCATTATTTCAAACAAATAGCCTTATATGTATATTTGCAATGTTGTATTTTACTTTCATAAATATGTTAGGTTATCATGTTTACTGTGTATGAAAAAAAGTAATATTTCTGTGAGACAGATATTTTTTTCTCTAGACACTCACGGGACATTTATTTATTTATAGTACTTGACACATATTTTTACTAATAAACCACCATATGTTTAATAGATTTTTATTCGTGGTTTATCTTTCATATGTTTCTTCTTAAGAACTTTGAATTTTTGCACCATTAACTGTAACCAGGTAATAATGAACTAGAACAGATATACCATACTTAAAAGATAAGTAAAAATTTAGATTTTCTTGGAAACCTTAAGAATGTAAAATCTGATGGGCTGTGGCCCAGTGGTTAGTGTGTCCAGACTGTGAATTTGAGGATTTATGGTGTGCAACCTATTGCCATAAAAATGTTCTCCACACTTGTATGCATTGCAAAAGTGAGGATCAAATCCTACTATTCAATCAGACAAGAGTTGATGGGTCAGTACTGTTGTCTAGCTGCCTTTCCTCTAGTCTGTCAGTTGAAAATCAAGAATGGCTGTATGTAAATAGCCATTTATGTAACTTTGCAACAAATACATGATTCAGTATGTGATTGGTGTTTTGTTCTTTTTTGTATACTTAATTCCATAAAAATAAAAATCTCTCACCTAGCTCTTCTTATACAGATTTATTGTAGTTTGGTGCTGTTGGAGAAAAGCCTTTTCTCATTGAGAGTAGCACTTCTTAACCTATTGCTAAGCCAGCTGTATTAATACTTAAATTAAGTGAATGCTTTTGAAACATTTTAAATATACCTATTAATTTTAAGTTTTTAAATGATACTGAATCACAAAACATCAGGCTAATCTATCTTAACATTCACAGTAATTATACTGTGTTTTCTATAATTATTATCAGATTTTCACAACATTTTAAGCAAGATTTTAAAACAGATCTTTTTACTTTTTCAGTAATTTAATGTATTTTCATACATGCGTATTTATTTTAAGTTTTATAATTTTATTTCATCTTCACAAGTTATGTTCTTGTTTAAGTACTATTATTTTGCTTGTATTGAAAGTGCAGTCCTTGAAATTAAGGCATAAAGTCCATGACAAAAAATGCTGCCATAAGTTCATTAACCCTTTTGAGACAGGTCATGGGTGAAAGGCCATGTCATCTC